TATTTATATAATTTTGCTTTATTTGAGTACCAGGTTGACATATTTTTGAAAAACTTATTTTTCAAAAATATTAGGGACCCATTAAATATTCAAGGGTCTTGAGGGACCTCTTAAAGTATTTTTTATTCAAAAAAAATTAAACCTAGTGTTTTTGTTTAGATAGAACACATTTTGGGGGTAAGAGCAGATTATTTTCAAAAATGTTTTTTTTTGGGACACCCTACTATATACATATATATATATATATATATATATATATATATATATATATATATATATATATATATATATATATATATATATATATATATATATTGAAAACATGGGGCTTTAAGCCACGTGTTTTTAACTTTTTTTTATATAATTTTTACTTTATAGAAATTTTTTTTCTCTCTTTAAGTATATAAATATTAAATTCAAACTGAAGAAGCTTTTAAGTGATAGACAACACAAATTTATTTAATTTTTTTTTTTTTTTTTTTTTTTTTTAATTTTTAAAGCTTTTATACATAACAAAAGTTTTATTCAGCAAAATTTAAAGTCATATAGTGAAAAAAAAGCTAAAAAGTTACAACTAATTTAAAAATAACAAATTTTAAAAATAGGGGCAATAAGCTTCAGTATATAAACATACATTTTTACATTATTTGCAGACAATTCTCACAGATAAAGTCTATCTGGAATTTCTGTGCATTTAACATGATACCAAACATTGCATAAGTCAGACACCCCCATTCTTCTCCATGACCTTTATGAATACCACAACTTAGACAAACAGTGTTGTTATTTTCATCACTGTCACTATCATCTCCAGCTGAGAGATTTCTTTGTTTTTTCATGACATTTTTTCTTGGACTGTTATACTTTTTTTTCCTGCTTTTTTTCTCAGTTGCTTCAAACATTCATCACCTGTTAGGCCTTTTTTTATTTTTACAATTAAATAACTTTTGTTTTCAATATAAACTATATATGTGTAATGTTTATAAAATTAAAAAACGGATTTTATTCATCTGATCAATGTTATTTGTTTTAACAATGTTTATTGTTTTAATTACCTTTCCTAACAATTGGGAGTATTAAGTCCCTGCTAATTAAAATATTTATTTTTATAAACTAGTTAATAATCAACAGATTCATATTTCTCTTGGAAGTTTTATCCATTCAAAATGTGCAATAGAAATCCAGTATTAAAGTGAATTTTAGAGCTATTTATAAAAAATCTTTTAAACATTCATCCAACTGACATTTTACATTGCTAAAATTTCTAACTTCATTTGGTCTATGAATATCATTATTTTAACTCATTGATTACATAAATAGTCAATGTATTATAGACTAAATGAAGGTATAAATTTTAGCAAAGTAAAATGGCAGTTAGATGAATGTTCAAGAGATTGTGTCACAGTGTGTCACACTATATGTGTTACAGATAGTTAAAAAGTAAAAAAATTGGTATTAACTTTATTATTAAGTCTTTATGTACTTGTATTTGTATGGAAAATTGAAAATGTAAAAATCATTTTTGAAGTCAAAACTACTTGCTTCGATTTTTCAACAAGTTTTAAGGAAACTGAATATCATTGGTTAGAAACCCAAGAGTGGTTATGAAAAGTTCTCTTTTTGGTTAGTTAGTCTCTGCCATGTAGATCTCAATGCCCTTTCTTTTTTTATTACAATAACTTTCTTTCTTATTACAATAACATTAGGCATTTTATTATATGATCTGATGAAATGATGCTTAAAGCTCTCTGTTACCTTACATAGTGAGAAACAATTACAACCAATTATAAACTGATGAGACGTATATTATAAACTGATGAGACGTAAGAAACAACTGATTGAAAATAAATACAAAAACTTGTTATTATTTTGTTGAACAAAATTTATAAAAATTACTCAGTTTTAATCATTTGTATAAAAAACCGTACAATTAAAGCGTACAATTAAAACTTTTTAAATGTAAATATTTCAAATATCTTTCCGTAACGTCGGGAGAAAAACGTTAGAATGAAAATTTGTCGTGTAGGAATGTTCAACGTAGCAGATTGATTCAAATCTAAGTAGACAAGTGGGCAGTGCTAATTTAGAGATAATTTAAACCACCTTTTAGTTGCCTATGTGTTTTAATTTTTCTTTAAAAAAAATATCGGTCTCTCTCTCTCTCTCTAAAAATAAGATACTTTAAAATAATCTAATATATTTTCAAATAATCTAATAAAATGCATTGTAATTATTAGTACGTGACGAGACAGATATTGTTCTGCTTTAAGCGAAAATTCCGGACCTTTTGTCTCTTGCGGATTGCAATGGTGATTTAATAGTATTTATTAAGAATTTATTTTAGCAGAGGCGGATCCAGACCATTAAGTAAGGAGGAGAGGGGGGGGGGGACATTTTTTCGGCAATACCACAAATCTTTTTTATATAATTTTTGTTTGAATATTTTTTGAAATACTCTTATACTTATACTCAGGAGGGGATCCAGGGTGTAGCAAGTGAAGCGATTGCTACAGTCAACTCAGACTACATTCATTATTATTTTCTACACACAATTTTATATATAAATATATATATATATATATATATATATACATATATATATATATATATATATATATATATATATATATATATATATATATATATATATATATATATATATATATATATATATATATATATATATATATATATATATATATATATATATATATATATATATATATATATATATATATAATATATATATATATATATAAATATATATATATATATATATATATATATATATATATATATATATATATATATATATATATATATATATATATATATATATATATATATATATATATATATATATATATATATATATATATATATATATATATATATATATATATATATATATATATATATATATTTGTGTGGATGCATATAAATTTAATCTTATGTCCAGGTCTCCTCAAGATAACAGTTGTTTATTTTCTGCTGTCTCCATTGCTTTAATCGGATAAAATATACTAACACCAACTCTTAGGAAACTTTGTGCAATTGAATTATACAAGAGCGCAAATTGTTTTCTTCTCGGGCATTCGAGTGGTGTTTTTCAATCAAAGCGATCCGCTTTTTTGTTAGATATCTCCAATGTTGCATATACTTAATTTTAGGCTAAGAAGTCTAAAGTTGATGTTATTATGGCTATAGCATTAAATATTTCTTAATCTGGTGTGTGGTCATCTTTAGTTTGTGTGATGTCTATCACAAATATTTTAAAAGTATATTCTAATTTGTATAATTTAACATTCAAACTAATTTGAATGTTATTATTTTATAATATGAATATGATGGTGTATACATTCATTTTCTATTTTAGATTCCTTTAAAATTTTTTTATATAACTACAGGAGATCCATGTCTAGAATATCTATTTAGAAGTACATTGTACCCAGAGCCGGCGCTAGGGTATTTGGCGTCCTAGGCAAAAAAAATTCAACCCCCTCCCCCCTCAACTTTTATTTACAAGAATAATAATATTTGAGATTTTATGACATTCAAAGAATAAAAGTAACATTTAATAGAATTAATGAAGACTATTCCTAATATTTAATCGCACCAAAATAATAATTATTAACCTAGCTTATCTCAAGAAATAATAATAAGTAATAATCTAGAATTAAGAATAAAAATTGAAAACTTGGAATATAATATAGTTACAAAGAATAAAAAAACTTGTTTCTGATTTGATGTTTAAATTATTAGAGAATTTGAATTTCAGAAACTAGAAAGTTCATTTGTATTTTGAAAATATGTAATAATAAAAATAAAAGCATATTTAAATTTTTATTTTTCTGGCTTTTTTTGTTGCAAATGTTTTTACAATTTCTTTCAAATTTAATATTGATGATTCTTCGTGTTCTATCGAAATTATTGGTAATCCCACCAGTCGTTCTTGTAACATTGTCGGCCTCAAATAGTTTTTTATTATTTTTAACTTCGAAAAACTTCGCTCGCCACTTGCAACGGACACTGGAAGTGTTAATAGTATTCTTAAAGAAATACATATATTTGGTAGACAGTCAATTAAACGTTGTTCAACTATAAAAGTTAGTACTTCATGTGGTGTCATTTGTTGTGGGAGTCTTCCAGAAAGTACTTTGATTTCATTACAAAGATCCGCTGCACTAATATCTTTTTGAGAACCATGAGTTAAAATTTCTTCTAGATTTCTACAATTTTTCAATAATTCTGCTGAAGATTTTGAACTTATAGAATAAATATCATGAAGGAAGCCAAACATACTATTATACTGTTGCATTTGTTCAAACCTTTCCGCAATAGACTGTATAGCAGTGTCTAAAATTTTAAAATAAAATTCAATTTTAAATTTTTCTTTTGGATCTTGCAACGATTTATCTTGTGTTTTATAATCGAACTGTCGCTTTTTTCTCCTTCTCCCGACATGTTTGTCTTCAAAATTTGTTACTGTTTCCAATTCTTTTGCAATTTCAGCAGCATCAACAATAATTCTTCGAAAGCCTTCATCATTTCTCATTTTTACAAGTTTGTTTTTAGTAATATTTAATTGTTGTGTAGCTACATTCAAATCAACTTTCTTATTTTGTAATATTTTATTAGAAATATTAACTTCAAAAAGAATGTTGTACCATGAAACAAGGGCAACCATGAACTTGAATATGCAAATAGAATTTGCAAGCCCTTTAGCCTCATTTCGGGAAGAATTTCCTACAGATGTAGTTTGTAATCTTGGATCCTCAAATATTTGCATTCAAGCATCGTAAATTTTTCCGAGATTGTATCGTAATGGTTTTAAAGCATTAATGCAGCTTTCCCATCTTGTATCATTTAATGACTTGACAGTAAAATCTGGAAAATAGCTACGAAAAACTTGCCAACGAGAAGGTGATCCCAAAAAATAACTATAAATCTGTTGCACCACACCAAAAAAACTTATTGCATCTAAGCTACACTTGCATGCATCATTCACAACTAAGTTTAATGAATGTGCGCTGCATGGAATAAAAAAACGCCCGAGGATTTATATCCAAAATTTTTCTTTGTACCCCATTTTCCTTACCCTTCATATTGCTTCCTTTATCGTATCCTTGTCCACGGAGATTTTCAATTGGTAAATTAAAATTTTCCAATTGTTCAATTAATGTTTTTGCCAAAAAACCACCTGTAGATTTCTCCACAGGTATGAATCCTAAAACATGTTCTTTAATTTTAACTAAATCCCCATCATGCGATGTTGGTGATTCTAAATCAACAAAACGAATTATTATTGTCATTTGTTCTGTATGGCTATTATCTGGGGTGCAGTCTAAAATTATAGAATAATATTTAGCAAATTTTACTCTAGTCAAGATATTATCTTTTATAGCATTTGCTAGTATTTGTATTAATTCGTTTTGAATTTCTTTTCCAAGACAATGAGCAGTTTTAATTTCTTGATTTTTAGTTTTTCGTACATGTTCATTCATTAATGGGTCAAATAAAGCGAGATACTCAACAAATTTTAAAAAATTACCATTGGCGTTATTGTAAAGCTTTTCATTTGTTCCACAAAATGTCAAGTTTTGCGTAGCCAGTACTCTGATTAAGGCATTTAATCTTTCTAAAATTCGTTGCCAATATTGTTCTTTTTCATTAATTTTTTGTTGATTAATATGATCAATGGTTTTTTCTGTAGATAAACGTATATCAAGTTCTTTCCACATTTGAAAATTTACGAGATGTGAATTACTTTTTTCATGAGAAGAAAGAAATGCTCCAATATTCTTCCAATCGTTTAAACCTGTACCTTCTAAAGCCGGCAAACTACTTTTGCTTTTACCAAATAATTTACAAGATAAACAAAAAACTACATTTTTTGAAACTGAATATATAAGCCAAGAACGAGAGACTTCTTCTCCATTTGGTAATGTCCGCTTGTAATTGATTGATGATAATTTTTTTTTTGTTCATCTCGATCTCGTGGAAAGTTTTATTTTTCAATTTGTTGAGGTCTATTTTTTATAACAAATTGCCAAAAATTGTCACTAAAATGAGTAGGCCAATTTGCAGGGTCACTGTAGTCTGCAGATGATAATATGCTAACTTGAGTTTCAGTTTCAATTTGTCTTGAAATATTAACAGCAGGAGTTGCTTCAGGTAGATAAATTTGGTTTTCATTGATATTTACAACTTCATTTTGTTGATTTGAAATATCAGCATTATTAACAGTTTTATCGTCAACTATCACTTTAGACTTTTTACTCACACTGCTATCCAGGGCCGGTGCACCCTATAGGCGAACTAGGCAATCGCCTAGGGCGCCAAAGTTTAGGGGCGCCTAAAAATTGATAAGTTTTTTTATATGCTAACAAAAAACAACGCTTTTGCTCATTGAGCAATATGTACGTACATTTTACCGAACGCAATCTAAATCATAACAAATATGGCGGCGTCTTTACAATCAAAGTGATTTTCATAACAACTTTCAATAGTTAGTCGACTATATTCTTTATATAATTTATACTGACAATATATATATATATATATATATATATATATATATATATATATATATATATATATATATATATATATATATATATATATACATATAGATGAATAATGACATTCTATATACTATTATACATTTATATTAAGTTTTAGATACTTATTAAGAAAAGTAAAATATTTTTTATATGAATGTATAATAACTAGCTTAAATCTAGGGCTGTTATATATTACGTATTATATTATTATTATACTTCACCATACGTTTAACTTTGCTATACAAAATAAAATTTGAATTATTTAAACACAATGCCTCTAGCAGGTTAAATTTTTTGTTGAGTCGCTTCTACAATATGTCTTGATCTGCACCAGCTAATTACACATTGAAATCACATTCATATAGCTAACTTCCATTTCCGTTTAAAAAAACACAAAAAATACTAGCAGGACGTATAACTTTGCCAAGTTGTTTTTTGTATAATACAGTTAAATGATAACCTGTTAAAACCTTACAGAGCTGTTCAGACCTGTTGGAAACTATAGCTAGCTATATATAATTTATTCTTGAAGCCAATCACAGAAGACCTATTAATGTATTAGTTAAACATCGCAACACTCATTTATTTTATTATTTTCTTGTTACATTTCAGATATGGCTGAGAGAAAGAAGTCTTCAGGAGCTCAATATCGTAAACGAAAAGTTGAACAGCAGAGGGAACAAGAAAAACAAAAGGGTTCATTGCTAAAGTTTATATGCCGACAAGACTCTACTAAAGAGGATAGTAATGGTGGACAGATTCCCACTGATATGGAAGCTGAAGAAATATCTAATGTTGTTGATAATGATAATGTGATGATGAGTGAAACACTTTCTTACTCAACAGTTCCCGTTTCCCATGCAGATAATGGCCAATTGAATAATTCTCTCGAGGAACATGTACAGCAAGCAAGTGAAGAAAAAACGGATAATGTTATTCCACAGGATCCAGCACTTTGGCCTCTACTAATTAATCATAATACACGTGCAATCATTGTAGAACGTGGACCTCAGCAAATAAAAGTTATCAGTTTCCCAAATGATAAGAAAAATCGAAAGTTTTCAGTATTTCACTACTTAAGAAAACTTCCTAATGGAGAAGAATTATGTCGCAGCTGGCTCTTGTATTCAGTATTAAAAGACTCAGTGTTTTGTTTCTGTTGCAAACTGTTCAGTATGAAAGCAATTGGCATATCATCACTAACTCATACAGGTTCAAGTGACTGGAAAAACATGGCGGCAATTCTTTCTTCCCACGAGAAAAGTCCTGAATATTTGCAGAACTATCAAAAGTGGAAAGAACTACATCAGCGATTACAGAGGGATAGTACAATAGATGCAGAAATTTTGCGCAAGATGAAGAATGAAGAAAAGTATTGGCAGCAAATACTAAAGCGTTTAATAGCATTAGTGAGAGTTTTGGGTGAACAGAATCTAGCTTTTCGCGGTACAGATGAAACATTGTACAGTACCAATAACGGGAATTTCTTAAAATTTGTGCAATACTTAGCCATTTTTGATCCATTAATGAACGAACATCTACGAAAGATATCAAATAAAGAGCTTCATACACACTATCTTGGCAAAGATATACAAAATGAACTTATTCAACTGTTAGGAAATGCTATTAAGAAAGAAATCATACAAACAGCAAATGCAATGAAATATTTTTCAATAGTTCTCGATGGTACTCCTGACTGTAGCCATGTTGAGCAAATGACAATAATTATTCGTTTTGTTAAAGTTGATTCATTGAAAAAGAAGTTTAGTATCAAAGAACATTTTTTAGGCTTTTTACCTTTAAAGAAAACAACTGGAGCCTATATGGCAGAAACGATAATACAACAACTAGAAGAAATGGAGTTACCTATTGATAATTTACGTGGCCAAGGCTACGATAATGGCGCAAATATGATAGACAAAAATAATGGTGTTCAAAAGAAAATATTAAACATTAATCCTCGAGCATTGTTTGTTCCTTGCAGCGCGCATACTCTTAATTTGGTTGTCAATGATGCTGCAAATTGTTGTCTAATGGCTACAAGTTTTTTTGATATTGTCCAACGTGTGTATTTATATTTTTCGTCTTCAACACATCGGTGGGTAGTTTTTACTAGTCATCAACCTACGTTAACTGTTAAACCTCTAGGTGAAACAAGATGGGAAAGCAGAATAGATGCTATAAAGCCTTTGCGATATGAACTTGGTAAAATATATCATGCACTGCTAGAAATAGCTGATGATACTTCTCTAACTGGATCCTCAGGAAGCACTGCACGCAGTGATGCTAAAGCACTTGCGAATAGTGTTGCAAAGTTTAAGTTCGTGGTTTCAATTGTTGTATGGTACAACATACTTTTTGAAATCAATATAACAAGTAAGCAGCTCCAAGCTGAAGATTTGGATATTCATGCTGCTGTACAACAGTTACAACACACACAAGCCTATTTGGTTGACTGTAGGAGTGACATAGGTTTTGCAAGAATGCTAGTGGATGCTGCTGAAATTGCTAAGGATTTGGAGATACCACCAACCTTTGAGGCAGAACCACGATTACGGCGGAGAAAAAAGCAATTTGCATATGAAGCTGAAGATGAGCCTGTGCAAGATCCAAAACAAAATTTCAAAGTGAATTTTTTCTTTGCTATACTTGACACAGCAATAAGGTCGGTTGAAGAAAGGTTTGAACAAATGAGAACAATTGAATCTGTATTTGGTTTCTTATATCATATTCATGGTCTACAGAGTAAAACTTCACAAGAAACATTGGAATGTTGCATGAAACTAAAATCTGCTTTACAACATGGTGATAACAGAGATTTAGTTGCATCAGATTTGTGTGGCGAACTACAGTCTATTGCTCGACGACTTTCTGAAGAAACAAAGTCTTCTCAAGATGTTTTTCGATTTATTCTTTGCCAAAACTTGGAAGACAGACTACCCAACCCTTGTATTGCTCTTCGTATTTTGCTGACATTACCTGTTTCTGTTGCTAGTGGAGAGCGTAGTTTTTCCAAACTAAAATTGATAAAGACATACATTCGATCATCCATGTGCCAAGACAGATTGGTTGGGTTGGCAACTCTTTCCATTGAGCACGAACTTGCAGACAAGCTGGACCTGAAGGACCTTGTGATCGATTTTGCCCAGAAAAAGGCACGCAAAGTACAGTTTTGATATTTTTAAATAAATAAATACTTACCTGGTGTTTTCACTTTATTTTGCATTTTATTTTGATTTTTTTACGTAAAAGGGGTGCGACCTTTGAAGTTTTGCCTAGGGTGTCATAACCCCTTTGCACTGGCCCTGCTGCTATCGCTTTCAGTAGCAGAATCAGTACCTGTAGAATGTGTTTCTGCACGAAAATATTTCAAAATAGCTTTTTTTTGACTTTCTTTATTTTTCTTTACTGATAGTCTCTTTTTCTCAGACATGGTTTAAAAACGTAAGAAATGTGTAATTATAAAATATTTACTTATTACTTGCTAGCGTACAATAGTAGAATTGAAGTAATACACTACCTTTTCAATCGATAAGAATATTGTCAGTTAAATACTTATTATAAATAAAAAATCTTTTCGCTGAGATTGCACGTTTTTTTGAATAAAATTTGGATGAAATAACATAAAAAACTAATTAAAATTCGAATAGTATATCTTTTTTTTAATATATAGTTTGTTACAAACTATATATTAATTGAAAGATAAACAAATGAACTTTTTAATTAAGTAAGTTTTTAACACGCATCGTTGAACAGTAAGAAATGCAAGGTACTTAAACCATCGTTTTTATAAATAGTAACGTAAAAAAATAAAAATAAAATAAATAAAACATAAAGTCCGAAATAAAACTTATTTAATGTATAAAAAGAACTTTTTTCTTGAAAAAAAAACCTTTGTAATTACTTAGCTAAATACTCACACGCTTCTACAAGTTAAATTTTACAGTGTTAACGCTGCTTTATTTTACTAATTACGAACTAAATTTAAAGAAATTTTTTTTATCAAGGATTACTTGAGATTTTTTAACTTTGTCAAGTGATAACTAATTATAGTTACACATTATGGCTCATACTTGTACTTGATTATGTAGAGAACTAATTAAACTTTAAGAAAAAACAAATTATGTGTCTAGATTTATACACAAAACAGGATAAGTTGTGAAGCATACTCAAAAGCCGCTACCAGCGGCTTGCAGTCATAATTAAAAAAAATCAAAAGCCGTTGTGGAGGGAAAGAGTTAAATTGACATTTATTCAAAGAATCAGAGACAGACAGAAGAAGTATCTAGTACTCGTTAACCAAACGCAAGCGAATGAATGTGAAATAACTGATTGAATATGCGGGCGATCGAATGAACATGAGGAACAGCGAACGGATAATATACATTTTTGTTTGATGTGTTTATAATTTAAAAAGAAAATATTTACTTTATTTGGAAAACGCAACTGAAGTTGTTAATTATCTCTCATTTTATTAATATAAACACAGACGAGAGACAAGAAGCAGGAGTCACTATTTAATAACATTACAACATGTTGCCTTTGCCTAAAGAGTGATATGCTAATTTGCCTTGCAGTTTATGCTCAATTACTGGAAATGGAAAATTTCTCATCGTTATATATAATTTTTATAGTTATTATAAAATTATAATTTTAGTTAGATTTTTTATATTTTATAGGCAGCTGCCTAGTCTGCCTAGTGCCTAGCGCCGGCTCTGATTGTACCCATAATCTTTTAAAAAATTCAATAAACCCAATCAAATAATTTACTTGATGCTGTACAATGTTGACACAAAAAAAGAAATTCCAAGCAACCTAACACATATGGGGAAAATGCATTTTTTCAAACCTAATCACTATGTGTCTCTGGTATCTGTTAAAAGCACAATTTTGAAATATTTTAGTTTGTACTCAAAAAAGTTTAAATTCTGCAAAAAATATCGTATAACCGGAGAAAAATGCACTTCAAATACCCAGCTTGTTCAAATACCCCACTGTTCTGCTATTTAAAAAAGTAATTTAACCGAACCCTCATCAAGTATTAAGAATTTTTTTCTGTGCACAATAAACCGTTGTCTGTGTCTGATTCATCTTTGGATTTAAATAATAAATTAAAAAAACCAATAACCAGGCTTGGCCAGGAAAGCGTACGATTTCACGTCATAATTTGACCACGCAAGTATCATTTAACTTGATCACAACAAAAACTTAAATGATTCTTATTAAAGGGACCTTCGCTGTTTAAAGTCGTAAAAAATTAAAAAAAAAATGTAATTTTTTTAAAAATTTTTACTTATAAAAAAAATTTATATAATTAATTAATATAAATAAAAAACTATACAACTTTCAATGATACTAAATGCTACTTATCGATCA